ATTTTTATCAAAATCTATTAAAATTTAATTTTAATCCCTTACCTAGAGGAGCTTAGTCTTGTAAAGAAGTGTTAAAAAAATTATCTGAAGAATAATTAAAATATAAGAGTTTGTGCTAATGTTCTTAAAAAGTTGATGTCCTAAGAGAGAATTTCAAGATTCAGCCCTTGTTTGGTCCCTATTTTTAAGTAAAATGTATTATAGAATAGTGATTTTTAGGAGAGTGCATGATTAAAAAGTAAGAAAAAGTTTTTGAAATACGTTTATAATTATTTTGTAGGAGAATGTGGTTGAAAATAAGTTCTGAAAAAAATATACACTTAAAACAAGAGGGGGCTCAAAAAACTCGTCGTCGTTGAACGCGTAGGATATGTCGATTGAAAATACGTATAAGTTGATTAATAAATGCAAATTACAACCAATTGTTCAATATCCAACCGACATAACTCCATTTGTCTAGTCATGTGAGTCGTAAACAAGTCTCACCTTACATTGAGGTAAACATGAGCAAATAGACTAGATTAAAAAAAAAATCGATCAATCACGAATATTCTAAACTAACCAAATGAATACAAATTTAAGGGAAACATGAGCGAATTATCTAAATGAAGCAAATCGACCAATCACGAATCTTCTAAATTTGATCAAACGAACACAAACTTTGAGTTTAGTTGAGATAGAGGTGTGCCCACATACATTTTCTACAAATCCTCTATCCACGAAATTCATTTAACAACCTCTATATAGAGAGTCAACTGATGAAAAAAAATGCACAGAATGGAGATTAGCAATAACTTTGATAAATAATTACGTTTGCACAAAACAACCTTGACCACAAAGGAGAACTATTTGTTCACTTTAAGTTGTCTCTAACCTATGTATATTCAGGGCCGGTCCTGTGAGTTTCGAGGCTCGAGGCGAACTCCATAAATTGGGCCTACTAAAATCAACGTAAAGCCAAAATTCAACAGTGTATAAATCTATATCTAGGAAGCATAATGTATGAATCTATATCTAATGCCCAACGATTAACATAAAAGACAATTACAAAATATCTCAATCATCTTACAATTAAAATTTCAATATACTTACTATGTTACTACGTGCACTGCACCTGTACAATTGATCTTACAATAACCAATCATATAAGCCGGCCAGACAACAATTATATAAGCCGACAAGGCTTCAAACATTTCCAATATATTCAATAATAGTTAGGACAAGCCATCGCTTACCTAAGAAATAGAATTTCGAGGAAAATTATGAAATCACAGTATCACACTCTTGAGAATTCCACCTTGGAGGAAAATTATGAACTCTTAATATGTTTAGTGCACTCAAAACCGAACCTTTCATAAGAGAAATTTAACACAAAAAATGCAGACAACATCAATGATTAATGGCCCCCGGTTCAAAATTCTCGACAACAACTTATGTTTGGTTGCGCTTTAACTTATATGACAATCTTTATAATGCAATACACATTAATACTGAAAATATTCATGCTGCTCCATGTTGTAATCTCATTATAACTCTCCGAACAAGTACTTGAAAAGAAACAAAACCCATTTTCTTTTAAGGTAAAGGAAACAGTAAACTAACTAACATATTTGAGAACAAAAGGTCCCTTGGAAGTAACTTCATTTTTTGCTCTTTAAGCTCAGGCAAACATGCTCCAAGTAAAATTTAGTTAAAAACACCATCTTGTCCCCTCACAATAGAGATAAATTTTCTGCCCATAGGGCACAATATGGTTTGAAACCAAACTGTATTGCAAATGGCAAATGATAAATGGACAATTTGGACTTCCTCGCATGGTATGATTTGATTAGAAAATAACTCAAAAATGGTCTAAATCAGATTGTTTATAAGTAAAGGAAAGGACAGTGAACAAATACTAGTTGTAGGAAAAAAAATATGCCAACATATGTGCACTCAAAACCGAACCCTTCATGAACTCCCAAAACTAGCAATATAGAAGCACCATAACCAGTATGGTAATACCAAAAAATCAAAAGAAGGCCGGTAGGCCATAAAGGTACAAAAACATATTCTTAAAAAATCTTACCTTTTTTTAATCTTTTCACTGGTTGGAGTTGGAGGACATTGTCGGTCGCCCATCGTAGGTCCGATTGGAGTTGGAGGAGTCGTCAGTGGAGTTGGAGGAGGCAAGGTCGAGCAGGAGGTAATGAAAATGGATTTCTTTTTTTCCTCCTTGAATTAAATAAAATAAAATAAAATAGGGCCAAAAATAAGCCCCCTCCTGTTTTGGGCCCAAGGCATCGGCCTCATTTGCCTCACCACAAGGCCGGCCTTGTGTATATTAATAATTAAATGAAAATTCCTTAAACATATTATTCGTCATCTGGTTTCCGTTATTTTTGTTTGATACAATAGTAAATTCATGTCAAAGTTGTCGATAAAAAGAAAGAAAAGAAAAGTACAAGAAGACGAAAACTTACGTCTTATATACTTATTATTGAATATCATAATCAATATAAAAACATATTTGGTCCCTAAATCTTAAAATTCATTTTCAATTAGGGATATCAATCTAACTTGTCGACTCGGTGAAAACGAACCAACGACTGAATCGAGTCTCAATTTTGGAAAACGGGCCGACCTGCGTGACAGGCCAAAATGGCCCATGTCACAAGTTCGTTGTAGGTAGCTTACCAACCTGCTTCAGGCAAGCTGTTGCAGCAACTACAACTGCTGCTTTTGTAGTTGTAGCTACAAAGGCAGTTGCATCACCACAAGAAAAAAAATCGGGTCGACTCGACTCGGTAAGGCTCAAGCGAAGCCTTGATTTTTTTGGTTGAGCTTTAACTCGGATAGGTTCGATTTGGACCAAAAAAGCCTGAGCAATTTTTTGTCGAGGTCGTGCCCGAGCCGCGAACCCCTTTTTTGGCTCGACTCATTGACATTTCTATTTTCAATTATATATTTTATGTGATCCATAACTTTTATCTAATTTTTAATCGCATATTTTATCAACTTTTATGAAAATAAAATTGATTTTTAGCAAAAAAAAGAAATCAAGGACTAAATAATCTAAATCATCCTTTTTTGCATTTTAAAAGCTTATTAAAATATGAATCTTGCTACATCTACATAAAGATTTATATAAGAGATTAAATAATAACACATGATATTTTATTATTTGTCATTTTAAAATATAGTTAACTTTTTCATTCAATCTGTTCTCTCTGCATTATTCTATATAATCTTTTATAAAATATTTTTATGTACAAGTAGCATCATTCTTAAAATATTGTTAGTCTCCAACATTTGCCATTTGGACAACTTACGATAAAGGGACCTCAATTTCAAATCTTGATCAACAATTGAGGTTCAAATCGCAGTAGCCATATTCTATTTCGTACACCCGCGACGCACCGAGTCAAACCTCGTACTAACTCCAGGTGGAGGATATTTCTGTCCATTATGATATAAAAATGGTATTGGTGCACTGAGTCGCTGCCCAAACGACACGTCACCAGCCAAGCATTTATCTCCACTTCATCTAGTATCTCGACGGCCGAGATCAACCCATCACTTTCACTCGGACGGCTAAAATTTGACATTCTAGAGCCTTCCACATATAAATGAAAGACCAATGGTAACTTTAGAGTAACAGCGCTGTACGCGTAATTGTAGTAACTGTAGTGGTTAAAACGAACATTTAAAGAAGGATAATGCTATGTGCATGTGTTGTAAAAAATTGTGTAAAATATTGTGTACAAATTGCACCATCCTTCAAAGAAAGAAATATAAATGAAGACGCATTTATACAGTAATACAGATAGATAAATGCAGATATAGAGTGAGAGTGAGAGTGAGAGAGAGTGAGAGCGAGAGCGAGAGCGAGAGCGAGAGAGAGAGAGTGAGAGTGAGAGTGGAGGGGAGAAGGTTTTGAGGAAGAAAGATTATTCGAGATTCGGAAAGTAGAATTGTTTGAAATTGTTTCCGATTTTTTTCTTCAACGGTCTTGTGTTGTTACGCGGAAACAAAGCAGAAATCTTTCAGATCTGACCGTCTGGTAAGCTGTCCTTTCCTGTTCTTGGTAATATTTGAGAGTGATATGGTTATTGAAATGGTTTGGTTAGATTTCTTTTTTCAATGTTGTTTACTTAGTGAATGATTCATTAAATATTGGTGGTATAAAATGAGTATCGAGTGATCAAAGTGGATTTTTTTTTATCTTCATAATCAAAAATAGGTTTGGCATTCGTATGATTATTTTTGAATAACGAGTATATAACGAAATTAGTGTTATGAATAAAGTCGAAGTAAAAAGAACCTAAATCAGGTTCTTTGAATTGAGTATAATCCAGGTGTATTACGATTTTTACGTCTCAAGAATATATTATAAATTAAGATTAATTGTCAGTCGTTGTTTTTCTTTTTTTGCTTCTCAAGATATCATGTAACATATTTCAAAATTTTTATTTATACTGCTTTTTAGGCTTGCAGAGAACGTATCCTGGAAAGGTAATTCAAGAAATATACTAATCGATGTTTAATTTTTTGTAGTTCTTGATAAAAAGACATATTTTTAAAAAACTTGTAAAACACATTGCTTTTATTGTGTTTTTCGATTATCCTTCATGAAAGAGAAATCTTGAATGTTTGGTGTGTCTGCTTTTGAATGTTTTGGGCTGGGAAGAATCTTTTTCTCACTATTTCGATTCCTTACAGATTGTGGTAGGTTGCTTTATATGAAACATCATATGGCTCTCTCCATGTAGTGTCGTTTAAGTTCCTGTTGGCGTTCAAATATATCCGCTTGGGCTTTATTCTGTTTTCTAGCATCGTCAGTGGGTGGCCTTTAAGGTCCAGTTTTTCTGATTGATGGTTGTTGGATCAGATTTTTATTTGTCTCTACTGCAATCAGCTTCTGAGTTTGGCGTTCAATTGAGATTGACGGAGAATCTCTCTTCTGCCGCCATCTCTTTTGCCGCTTGCAAGAAGAACCATTATCGATATTACTCCTGTTCATGTCACCTAACTCGGATAGCCCTGTACAGACCCAGATGGCCGTGGCAGTCTTCGGGAGTCCACTTGGAAGTGGAGAGTACCACGGACCCAATAGGACGGAAGGGAAACCAGCCGGAAGGAGACGTGTTTTTGTACAGACTGAGACGGGCTGTGTGTTGGGGATGGAATTGGACCGGAGGGATAATGTACATACCGTGAAGCGGAGGTTGGAGATTGCCCTAAACTTTCCCATTGAGGAGAGTTCTTTGACATTTGGTGATATGGTGTTAAAGAATGACCTCAGTGCCATTCGGAATGATTCCCCTCTTCTTCTGACACGGAACTTGATACATAGAAGTTCATCAACTCCCTGTCTGTCGCCCACTGGAAGTGACATCCAACAGAGAGATCAGAGTGCTTCAATAGAAATACTGGGGAACTCAACTCACTTTGCTAAGACGAAACAACTTGTTAAGGAAATCTTAGCGGCAATGAAGTATGGGGTCGATCCCATTCCTGCACATGGTGGGCTTGGAGGGGCATATTATTTCAGAGATAGCAGAGGGAAGAGTGTTGCCATTGTAAAACCAACGGACGAAGAACCATTTGCACCCAACAATCCAAAAGGCTTTGTAGGCAAAGCTCTTGGGCAACCAGGCTTAAAGCGTTTTGTCAGGGTTGGGGAAACAGGGTTCAGAGAAGTGGCTGCTTATCTTCTCGACTATGATCATTTTGCTAATGTACCACCCACTGCATTGGTGAAGATAACTCACTCAATCTTCAATGTCAACGATGGTGTGAATGGAAACAAACCTCAGAACAAGAAGCTTGTCAGCAAGATTGCATCCTTTCAACAATTCATCCCACATGATTTTGATGCCAGTGATCATGGAACCTCAAGTTTCCCTGTTAATGCTGTGCATCGAATTGGGATATTAGACGTTAGGATTCTTAACACAGATAGGCATGCAGGTAATCTTTTAGTTAGGAAGCTTGATGAAGTGGGAAGGTTTGGTCAAGTAGAAATTATCCCGATTGATCATGGCCTTTGCTTGCCTGAAAGTTTGGAGGATCCATATTTTGAGTGGATTCATTGGCCTCAGGCTTCAATCCCATTTTCAGATGATGAGCTTGAATATATAAAAAATCTTGATCCTGTACGAGATTCAGAGATGCTGCGATGTGAGCTCCCGATGATTCGAGAGGCTTGTTTGCGTATCTTGGTCCTTTGCACGATTTTCCTCAAGGAAGCTGCTGCTTATGGGCTTTGTCTTGCTGAGATTGGTGAGATGATGAGTAGGGAGTTTCGCAGTGGTGAGGAGGAACCTAGTGAACTTGAGATTATATGTATCCAGGCAAGAACACTGATATCTGGGGAAATGTGTTGTCCCAAGACAGTAGCAGATACTGAGGATTTTCAATTTGACATAGATAATGAAGATAGTGTCTTTGGGCTTACCCCGAAAGCTACATCTGAGGACTTCATGGGAGGACCATTCCATTTTGGAGTTGGTGGTGCTAATGGTCATATTCCCCTTTCAAAACTAGACGAAAGCATTGAGGAAGAGGAAAGTGACACAGAAAAGAAGGAAAAGGAATTCATTGGCATGACAGCCCTAGAAAGGAAACCCAATATTTCAAAGCTATCCATGTCGCTCAAGAATACTAGTTTAGGTGAGAAGAATCTCAAGTTCCTGAAATTTTCGGAACCAAAGCCTGAATTTGACTATCTTGCTAGTTCATTTTCTGGCCACAGGAGCGCAAATGAGCAGGTTCCTTCTAGTGTAAGCTTTCTGAAGTTATCAGACATGAATGAGCAAGAATGGGCTCTGTTTCTGGAGAAGTTCCAAGAGCTGCTATACTCGTCATTTGTCAAGCAGAAGACTGCGACCCTTGGTCAGAAGCAGAGACAGAGGCTTGGGACTTCTTGCCGGTTTTGAGATTGAGATATGACTTCTACTATCTTACAGTTTAAAAGAATAAATACCGCGGGCTTGTTGAAGGAGTTGTAGGTTAGGTTTGGTTTAAGATTTCTCCCAGAAGTTGTAGGTGGGAGGCAGGATGAGAACCTGCTGTAATTATTCTTTGTATGCAGGTGAGTGAAGGGCAGACTACATTTTAACTCTTTTCTTTAACGCATCTATGTTGTTGGATAAATAAATGAAACATCTATGTAAATACATAAGCCTTTCTTGACTGACTCGATCAAATGTTCTTCAAATTTGTTGTGAAGTTGCTGCTCCATTCTTTTGTGACTTTTGATATCATTGTTGTATTCTTCCAAGGGGGTTAGAGGGGGAACACTGTCGAGTTCTTGACCCTTTTCGAACGTTAATGGTCATTCTCTTGGTGCGTTTTTGCTATAATACCATTTCGAAATTGTGACATAGTGTATCTGCATTTTTCAACGATAGCTTGTCGTCTAATTATGAGCTGTAAAATAAAGATAAGTTACTTTTATGTGTACCAATCAGAGACAAAAGCTAATTAGTAGCGGATACTTGTAAAGATTCCAATTTGGTGTTAGTCATCTTCTTATCAGATAAACGTGCTTTCAAATTAAAGCTGCTAACATATTGGTGGAAGTCTCCATTATTATCAGTCAGTTTTCTGTGGTTTCAAGTGATCACTCCGAATCGACTTTAATTTCTTTTCATAGTTTTCCTTTAATCATTCTTGTGTGTTCTGTTGGGTTTCTCTATCTTAATCTTGACTTAAAGTTAGAATAATTGTGGCGGCCTAATCATTGCTCTTGGCTTTGTTTTGTGCATTATTGTAGTTTATTTCAACTAGTTTTCGGTGTGGGGTTTATGTGGGCAGTTGTCTAATGATTTGAAATTTGGATTATAATGATAGAGGAACAAAGAGAAACAAGTGGGGGCATAGTACATAAGAGTTGTATTCACAAGGTCTTCATAGCAGCATGTTTTAATTTTTGACATTATTTTATATAGCTCCTATTTAGTAGGAATTAAAATTCAGATTTTAATATGAATCAAAGTCATCAATTAATTTAACCATATATTTCATGAGATTCACAACTTATTAATCACACATTTCATCAATTTTTATCAAAATCTGCTCAAAACCTTATTTTAATATCCACCAAACATAGGTATAATATTGAACTAAAGAATGCTATAAAGGTTTGTTTGGAGGAGAAATTTTGGTATATGTATAATAAGCAAAAAGTTGTAAAATAATTTCCTATTGCAACGTAATAAAACAAACATATGAGCTAAAATGCTAAGTGGATGTTCTCTTCGTGTTTCGATTTTTTGTTTTGAGTTTTGAATTCATTTTCAATTTTATGTTTTGAGTATCTGTTTTGAAGTCGCTAAA